TATCAGGCTAGTATCAAATCAGGATTTGAACCTTAAGTACAGTAGGATGTGATATATACTTACTTTACGTGTGAGCGTACTAATTTATGAAGTGCTTCTAAAGGCTCGGTAGTCTGCAAGGGTCTGAGAAATTCAATACCTTGACAGGCAGCCAATAATTCAATTGCAATAACTGAAAAAAAAATTCATATTTGGCCATATATAATATCATTCCAAGTGATAGCAAAAATAATGTCTCTAGAAATGCAGGTATTAGCTACTCACCCACAAATGAAAAATGAAAACGTAAAATAAGAAAAGAAAATCTTTACTTTCTTTTTATCAGTTGTATTAAATTTCTTATCAAACTGAGAAAGGTCATGGAATTTCCACTTTACACCTAATTTTTTAGAATTGTTTGAACAACTAACAATAATATTAACACCACAATAACCACTGGCATATGCCTACTATTACTGAAGAATACAAAATGCCATATATCAAAACTAATAATAAATGAAATTCTTCAAATTAATAATAAATATATAAAATTAATATATTGCTGCTAAATATTTAAATATATAGTATACCTTGTTCAACATGTTCCACAACCTGAAGTGCTTTCCGAGCAGCAAACCCACCCATGGAAACATGATCCTCTGTTCCGGCACTTGTAGAAAGGGAATCAACTGATGATGGGTGTGTCAGTACCTTGTTTTCAGACACTAAGAAAATACAAGAAAAAATTAGCCATCTATTTCTTGTCACCACTGGGGAAAAGATTTCTACTAGTCATAGTAATTCGATGTTTACGTTCATAATTTATTAATATTTGAAATATTACCAAGTGAAGCTGCTGTACAATGCGCCACCATGAAGCCGGAATTAAGGCCACCATCTTTGACAAGGAATGCTGGGAGTTCACTGTAGGCTAGAAAAGAACATTCATTATTTATACACATTATTCAATGAACATGTCAAATACAAACTCAAAATTTAACCCAAATTAAACTTGTGTTTGGAAGAAGAAATTGGAAAGTTCACTAGGCCTGTGCGTTTTTGAAAAATCAAAGCTCATTTTGAAAACTTACCTGGATTCACAAGTCTCTCTAGTCGTCTTTCACTCATACTGGCAAGCTCATGTACAGCTATGGCCAAATAATCCAATACTTTGGCTGGATATTCACCATGGAAGTTACCTCCAGATAGGATCTCCCCACGCTCAGGAAAAACGATCTATAGAAAGGCTTACTTAAGGACAAATAATAAAAACTGGTGTAAAACATATCCATTGTATTGTAGCAAAGAAAAGTTTAGACATAGACTAATATGTAGTATGTACTATTAGGTAAGGAATAGGTACAAGTTAGAACTAGAATATACTGTACTTGGTAGAGGTTGAAGTAGAGCTGGGGCGGATCCAGAAAGCATGGGTAGCTGTTGTATCTGGTACTTCATTCAGTAATAATGGCTAAAAACCCTGTCTTAGCTCACAGTCTTTTGGCCTTTTTTACATCCTGGATTTAAGAAATCTTTGGCAAACATCGGCGTTGGGGATATAGCATTGTGTTCATCGTCAATCAATAGAAAATTCAAAATTAATGAGTGGTCAAATAATCGAGCTCTACTGTCGCCCACTGCTCTGTCCGCCACTGGACTCATGGGTACACTTCCTTTTTTTCCCTCTTTCCTCTCTTTAACTCTCTTCAATTTTTTTGCACTCATTTTGAATTTTTGGGCAGGACTGAAGGGGGAGGGGAACAGGCCCCCGTGGCCCCCTGTGTTTCCCCCCTCCGCTGGATCCACCCCTGTAGAGGTACAAATACAAAAAAAAGTATATAGTAGTGTCGACAGAAATAGTAAAAGACCTATCATCATCACCGCTGCTGCAATTGTCCATTTGCATCTTTATCTTCATCATTATCACTACCACCATCATTACAATCTTCACCAATATCATCATCACCATCATCATCATCATCATCACCATATCTATTAAAGGATACTGGATTGTCTGTTGCACTGTTCATTTCTGTT